TTGGAACAATGTGGAAATACTGGGTAGAGGGAGGACAAAGAACACCAGGGAATTTTCAGAAGCTTGGCACTCACGCCAGTCAGCAGTCAACAAACATATCGACATTGAACTAATTTATCGACCAATTCGGAAAATCATAGGTGACATAGGATCAAGAAACAGATCAAAAAGTGGGATACAATCAAAATAAAGGTGCAAACAACGACAGATTTAAGGTCAACAGTAACCAATCAAGATTGAGGTTAACAGAACAAGCTACAAGCTACCTGAAAGCGCTGCGCACCGTACCATATCAGGACGAAACTGCCGTCCAGTGCTTCCAGGTTTCTAATGGTGATCTAACAATGATTGATTGATGATTTCAGTAATAAACCACAATCTCCATAACTTTAATTGAAAAATCGTACATTGTGCTCACTATTGACTAGCTTCGTGAGGCGATTCTCGAAGTTCTAGTGAGAAGACATGACCAGTGAATTTCAACGCTTTCGAGTGTAGACAGTAACTACCAAAGACAAATGGGTTAGGTTGTGCAAAATCATTAGATTGATCAGAATTAGACATTAAATGTTGGCTTAGTGGTCCAAAGGTTAGGTGTTCGCGCACAAGCCCGAAGGTCCTAGCTTCGGATCCTGTGAGTAGCAGGAGCCGTGCTGATAAATCCCATGATTCACTCATGATTTCAGTATTATAATTTGTTTAAGGGTTAACTATACAATTCGAACGATTAGAAATGAAAATGTTCAGAGAGCAAGTCAAACTATGAGTGATCATTTTGAAGGTAGAGTAAGCGAATCACTACACAACTGTTCATATAAACATTTTTTGCGTTGAAATGAGTATTCTATTTGATAAGTTTAGTTTTAAAATACATGATGACTTATGTAAGTACTGAAATCAAAAAGACGATTTTCACTCTTGAAAAGTTGATTTCTAAACAGTTCATTTCTAAATTTCATATGTCACAGTTCACTATTAAATTTTCACAAAAATGAATATGAGAAACACTTGAATTTTTAAACAAAACATAATCTCATTCAACTTTCAAAATTATTTGTCATTTTGAATTAATTTACTTAAACAAATCAAATCATTTTATATGCAAAAGTGTACTAACTACATGTACTAAGTTTTTTTCTAACTTGTTTGAAAGAATAAATTTCAATCAATCAATCAATCAGTCAATCCAATCACATCAAACTCATTACTATTCCAAATATTATTTTTATGCATGAAGTTACTGTTTAAAAATGTAACGCAATTTTATTTAAAATGTTTGTTAAAGTACATTTAAACAAATTCAAATGGTCGTTGTCCATGTTAGGATATTCGTCCAATATCCTAAGAGAAGTACTGGTCAGTTCCTATTGGTTAACTTCTGGTGGTTAATTTTATGGTCGTCCTGATTATCAAAGTCACTTCAAATGTTTTTTTCCTATTGGTCGACTTAACTGTCAATGTCACAGACTTGAATGTTGTCTCCTATTCCACCTAACTGTATAAATATGCATTATCTGTAACACTTTATTACCCGAGCCGAGACCTGAATCCTTAGTCTGAGATCCTGATTCTCTTCTAGACTCGGACCTCGTACTTTCTGGATGCTTGGAGAATACACTCTCCACTTCATATCAAATCTTCTTCTTTAAATCAATGTGGGCTTGGATAATCGGATTTGAGTAGCATGTCGTGTCACCGGATCCTCGATCGTCGCACTCTTATTCCAACTAATGTTGACTGATGATTTCAAATGGGTAAAAATTCTATCCTCTGTTAAAACTGATACATTGAACAATGAATTTGAATTAGCTCATCAAGAATTGACTGTTTCCAATTGAAAAGTTCCTTTTAAATCTATTAAAATGTTTTCTATCACTTAACTATCATATGTAAAAATGTATGATTTATTATAACTGATTTGTAGGATAAATTTTTCAAAGAAATACTTGATAAATAAGTGGTGATCATTTTGTAAATGTGAACTTGTTATCCAAATTTTGAATCATTTGTGAAAACAAAGTCATTTCGGGGTTGTGAAGAATGTTAAGTTTTTTTGAAACAATGAATCGATCAATGTTAGACCACCATTAGAAACCTGGAAGCACTGAAAGACGGCCGTTTCGTCCTGATATGGGATTCCTCAGCAGTGCGCATCCACGGGAATTGATCAAGTTAGACATTAACACCGTTAAATACCGGCTCAGTGGTCCGGCGGTTAGGCGTTCGCCTACGGGGTGCAGGAGTCGTGGATGCGCACTGGCGCTAATGAGTCTCATACCAGGACGAAACGGCCGTCTTTTAGTGATTCTAGGTTTCTAATGGTGGTCTAACATTGATCGATTCACGGTTTCAAAAAAACAAAGTCAGTTGGGAAATTCAGAATGAAACTCATCCAGATTTTAAACTTTTCAGTATGTCAAAAAGAAATGATTTTTTCCTAACATATTTGTTGAAAACCGCAACAGCTTGCCCCCAAATACCCTGATACGGCCGGGAATAGGAAGAGTCCCCTCTCTTTCGCTAAATGCTCTCATATGATCATGTGTTTATAGAGAATTTCAGGAAAGTCCTACTCACTGCCTTCTCATGTTAAAAGGTGTTGTTTAGGGAATTGACAGGAAAAACAGAGCATGTTTGCAAAAGGCTGAGTTATAAGGTAAGAGAGATCCTCCAACTAAAGGAGTTGGAAAACCCTCATCTAAAACCACTAGTTTCTATTCGGATTCTAAAGAAAATTCAAATTTTGCAAATATATTTTTCTGTGATGATCAAGAATCATTTACATTACAATGTAACTTGTATACATTTCCGTAATTTATAATTTGTAGCTTTCAATTTCATGTAAAAAATGAATCATTTTGTAAAAAACCAAGAGTGTCTAGTGTTCATTCTCATGAGAATTGAATATGGAATGAATTCGTCATTTTTGTAGAAATGATATTTGCATTACGTGGTTGTGAAGATTGTTAAGTTACACATTTTTGAAACCATGAATCGATCAATGTTAGACCACCGCCATTAGAAACCTGGATGGTTAGGCGTTCGCGCACAATACCGAAAGGTCCTGGGTTCCAATCCTGCGGCGTGCAGGAATCGTGAATGCGCACTGCCGTTGATGTGTCCCATACCAGGACAAAACGGCCCAAGTTCAGTCCTTCCAGGTTTCTAATGGTGGTCTAACATTGATCGATTCATGGTTTTCAGAAATGATATTTCTCTTAAAGGATATACTTTCACCTTTTTTAAAGTAATAGTGCTGCCTTGAATACCAGTAGACAGTTTTAACTGAATGATAAATAAGTAAGTCTACAGATTAAACTTATTTAATCCTAATTCAGTGTGAATGGTGAATGTCAACTGTGTAGAAATACTAATTTTTTTAAGACGAAACAGTTGTTCAGTGCTTTCAGGTTTCTTGGTAATATCATCTTATAGTAGGTGGTGGTTTTTTCCCTCTTAATTAATACAGTAAAATACCGAATAGTTAGCCGTATCAATTCTCATCAATTAGATTATAGTAACCGCTACTTCTTATTGAACACATTGAATGTTTCAATGAATTTCAGTAAATTTAAACAAAAATCAAAAAATTTCTTTTAAATGACTTGATAAAATGTACTTTTTTGTCATTTCAATTATAATCAAAGATTTTTTTAAATTTTCAAATTGAAATTCAAAAAAATACAGATATAATCAACACTTCATTTGAATTTGTTTAAATGTACTTTAACAAACTTTTCAAATGAAAATTGCGTTACATTTTTAAACAGTAACTTCATGCATAAAAAAAATATTTGGAATAGTAATGAGTTTGATGTGATTGAACTGATTGATTGATTGATTGAAATTTATTCTTTCAAACAAGTTAGAAATAAATTAGTACATGTAGTAAGTACACTTTTGCATCAAAAAAAGATTTGATTTGTTCAAGTAAATTAATTCGAAATGACAAATAATTTTGAAAGTGGAATGATTGATTATGTTTTGTTTAAAAATTCAAGTGTTTCTTATATTCATTTTTGTTAAGATTCAACAGTGAACTGTGACATATGAATTTAGAAATGAATTTAAAGTCGACTGTTCAAGATTGAAAATCATCTTTTTGATTTCAGTACTTACATAAGTCATCATGTACTTTAAAACTAAACTTATCAAGTAGAATACTCATTTGAACAGTTGCGTAGTGGTTCGCTCATTTGACCTTCAAAATAATCACTCATGGTTTGACTTGCTCTCTGAAAATTTTCATTTCTAAACAATCGAATTGTATAGTTAACCTTTCAACAAATTGTATTGCTGAAATCATGAATCGATGATTGTTAGACCACCATTAGAAACCTGCGACCAATAGAGCTCCGTTTCAACCTGGTATGAGACTCATCAGTGACAGTGAGCATCCACGACTACTGCACCTCTCAGGATTTGAACTTGGTACTTTCGATCTTGCGCGCGAACGTCTAACCTCCTGGTTTGAATCCTATGAGGTGCACGAGTCGTGGATGCTCACTGCTGATGAGTTCTACAGCGGGACGAAACGGTCATCGTCCAGTGGTTCTAATGCTGGTCTAACGATGATTGATTGATTGATGATTAAAAATGTGTAAAAACAATAATCTCCATAACTCTAATTGAAAAAAGATAGAATCATTTTATTACAAAATAAGATTGTTTTCAATGACATATCAGTTATCTGTTCAATTCAGTTTTGTTTTACATATAAATGAAAAGCATCTGCTTGCATAATATGAACTTGTTGATTACTGTGGAATGATTTATTGACAATATCCTAACAATCCTCGACTTTTCCGCCATGTTTTTCCCTACTGTTCAATGTTCAATGTTTCAGCTATATACATCAATTTGTTATTTCTATTTGTCAAATAATAATTATCATGATAAATTCTGTTAATTGATTTTATTAATCAGTTTTCCCTTTTCTTTCTCTCTCTCTCTCTTTTCTTCATTTGTTCATTTGTTTGTTTAAATTGTCAATAACCAAGGAAACAATATATCAATTTATTTTAACATTACTTTATTGTGTTGCAATCGGTGTAACATTTAATCAAATTGATTATTTACACTATTTCATTGGACCAATCACAGTGAGTTAAATGTTCCCAATATATATTGTGAACTTGTTGTTTAACTGTGTTTTAATTAACATTCATTTTTAAAGTTGTATATTTTTATATTATGTTAATTGATGATGAGATGTGAATAGTTGATATGAAAGTGGGACAAATTAGTGGAGAATGCATGTGAAATGATTTTATCTAGGCAATGATATGAAATTAGAAAGTTCTATTCTATTATATGAGACATATGAAACGTTTTTATTGATAGTCCCATCAAGGATCGAATCCTGGACCTTCAGGGATTGAACTACATGCTTAATGTTTATCAGTTCGTGGTGTATGGTGTTTTATTATTCATTCTCAGCAGTGATGACTGTCTTGCGCGCAACGTGGTTGAACTCGACCAATCGTAGCTTTTCAAATGAATCATTGTGATCATCTCATCAGTGATAATTATTGGTTTCGTCACTAAGTATGCTTGAGGCTATTACAAGTTCACCTTAGTCGATAAACGCGAACGAGACAATAAACCAGTGTCCAGATAGGCTACCTTGAATACCAAACTGAAGATAAAAGGCCTTGTAAGCGTAGAAAGTATATTCTGCAAACACCAAGCAATCACAGTACAATCAAGCACACAACTCTCGTTTATTTATGCATCATAGAAACGTCCTTGGGACAGTTAAGAAAATAGCACACTAAAATACACAGCAGTCAATCACAGCCACGGATTTTCCTGGTGGGAAATGAAATCTCAAGGTCAACTGATCAGCCCATGCTTGCGAACGTGAAATCCAAAATTGAGGCATTTATCAAGCGAGTTTTGGGGATCTAACATCCCCAACACTAATGGCCCGGTGACTGACGAAATCTTGCCACAGATAGAGAAATCTCTATCGGCTTTGCCTGTTAGGGACATTAGATCCACAGAACTCACTTAAAGAAAGTTCTAATTTTGGATTTTGGATTTTCACGCATGGGCTGATCAGTTGACCTTGAGATTACATTTCCAACCCGGAAAGTCTTTGACTGTTATTGGTTGATGTATTATTTTACTGCACCGTTTTTATGGATCTCCCAAGGCCGTTTCTATCATCCATAAATAAACTCCATTTGCAGGCTTGTCAAGTTTCTACACTTTCTACGCTTTGTCAAGACTTCTTTATATAGTTAGCAGGATCTGGGACAATGGATTAGAATAACCTATCATGTCATTGGATCATATGTTTTCACTCTCGTTTACCGACTAAGGTGAACTCGTTATAGTTTCATGTATATCAAGCGTATCATTGCCCATTTTTAAGTTCCGAACGTTAAAAAAACCTAATGTAAATTTGGATTACTGACCAGAACTCGATGTTACGAAATGTCTGAAAACAATACAAATCACACTGTCATCCAGTCAGTTTGACTCGTAATCCACATCTATTGTTGGCTTTTCACATTATCTTATCATTGAAATCTAAAAGAAACTATACAGAATAAGTCTTATAAGATTACTAAACAAGTAGTTTTATTGAAATCATAAATCGATCAGTGTTAGACCATCATTAGAAAAATGGAAATACTGGACAGCCATTTCATCCTAATATAGGAGTCATTAATAGTGGGCATCCTCAGCTCACCCTGCCCCTGAAGGTTCTGAGTTCGACCATCGACTCAGATTTACAGACAGATCATTGGTATAGACAAAATTTACGATCGATCACTTCACGAGGTACGAAAAACTACAATCCAGAACATCGAGGTGGCTGAAAATTTACTGAAAAAATGACCAACATTGATAAGTTATTAATTCCTTAACTGCTTACTTCTAACTGCCAGTCACTAACACTTTTGTAAAAGAGACTCGTTCAAATACTCTGGGCTGAGAATTCCATATCCTACTAGACACTGAAAATTGAATAGGGCCATTCATATACATATACAAATCAGATCTCATCTTAATCAATAAAATTCTACCGAAAATACTTATTAAAAACGCGTAATATTGATTATTACTAAAATAATGCATTATCATGTAACTGTATCATTTTCTTGAGGAAGTTGTTTGTGACCGAAATTGGATGACTAGTGCAGCTGAAGTAAATTCATGACTAATAGTAAATATTTGAAATCATCAATCAATCATTGTTAGACCACCATTAGAAACCTGGTAGCACTGGATGGCCTTGCCGTCCTTGTATGAGACTTATCAGCAGTGCGCATCCACGACTCCCGCTACTCGCAAGATTCGAACTTAGGACCTTCGGTATTGTGCGCGAAAGCCTAACCTTAGGACCACTGGGCCGGCATACAACAGCGTTAATGTCTAACTCTGATCAATCTACAGGTTTTGAGCGACCTCACCCTTTTGTCTTTGGTAGTTATACTTTCTGCACCCGACAGGGTTGAACTCCACTGGTCACACGTCTTCTCACTAGAATTCCGAGAATTTCCTCACGAAGCTATTAGTCACTAGTGAGCACATTTTACGACATTTTCAACAAGATTTATGGAGATTAGTGTTTTTTACACATTTTTGAAGTCATTTAAAGTTTTAATTTCCAAAATTACTGATTTTAATCCAAAGGTTAGACGTTCGCACGTACGGTCCTTGGTCCGAATCCTGCGGGTCACACAGTCAGATGCAACGTAGAACTTCGTACATAAATACGTCAGTTCATGTTGCCATACCACATCAGCACAGAGAATCCTGCGGGTTGCAAGAATAGTGGATGGGCACTGCCACTGATGAATCCCATGCCAAGACAAAACAGTCGTCTTTCAGTGCTTCATAATTTCACTGAAACTCAACAATCACCACAATCTTATGAGGAAAAAAGGTTTTTTTCTATTTAACCATTCTTGAACAGTGTACATACTGTTGCATCATGCATGCATTTCAAGTACTCATCAAATTGACACACAACTCCCAATAACCCTTTTTTTTAATCTTCTTTGTAGATATTTACATCAGCTAATTTCAGTGCTTATATATTTGGCAGTATGGTTGCAATCACTGAATTACTTTGTCAACATCCAGATTTAAATAATGCGACTATTCCAAATACAACTACAACTACAACTGTAACAACCAATACTACTACAAATACTACTACTAATAACACTACAGTGAATGTCAATTCAAAGCCACCTCCTGCTCAGTCAGTCAATCAAGTGATACAGAGTAAATAACACAAAACTCGACTGTGTGTGTCCATGTGCGTGTGTTCGTGTATGTATATATATGTGTATGCATAATCCTTTGCCCAATACTACTGCGGTGTGCTGCTGATCAGTGTGCAACACGAAATCTTCTATTCAAGTCAACTGACTAAACTTTTTCAAATTCATTGGAAATGTTTTTATATTTAGAAATGTTTCTTTGAAGCGTGTTGTTGTTGTTATTGTCGCTGTTGACTGTTTGTTTAAACATGGATGAAAAGATTGTAGAATCATTATTATTTTATCATTGACTTTAATCTTGTGTTTTCCGCCATTTTATCTGTTTGTTTGTTTGTTTAAACAGAGGGTGATTTGAATTAGATTGTCTTGTATGAATAAAAAAATTTTTATTCAACTGTATTATTGAGACATACTTTTACAGATGACAAGTTTGATTGGCTGACTTTTTGGGAGTGGAAATTTTAGCGGGAAATCTACTTGTTGTTTTTAGAATAATCTCTATAACTCTAATTGAAAATATCGTAACATGCGCTCACTAGTGATGACTAGCTCCGTGAGGAAATTATCAGAGTTCTAGTGAGAAGACGTGACTAGTGGCGTTCAACCCTGTCGAGTGTAGGCAGTAACTACTAAAGACAATGGGTGAGGTTGCGCAAGATTGATCTCTAGACTGATTAGAGTTAGACATGAACACCGTTGGATGCCGGCCCAATGGTCCAAGGGTTAGGCGTTAGCGCACAATACGGAAGGTTTTGTGTTCGAATCCTGCTAGTTGCGGAAGTCGTGGATGCACACTGCTGACGAGTTCAATGCCAGGACGGCACGGCCATTCAGTGCTTTCCGGCTTCTAATGGTGGTCTAACAATGATTGACTGATGACTTACAATATGCCGATGACATAGTTCTACTTGGTGAAGACGCTAACAAAATGTTGAGTCTTCTGACTACCATGAGCAAGTATGTTGGGGATGCGACTCCCTCCACCTAGATTTAAAATGTTGCCTCAGGGCTGGCATGTATCAGGGATTCAGTTAGTGGTAGGGAGTGAAGTAGTTAAACTTGACGACCGCTTCAGAGTCTCATCAGTCTTCATGGACTGGTGTGTGAGTGGTGTGTTATACAAAAGGCTCGACTAACATTTGCCAACTTACACCACTTGTAGAATAGGAAAGATATACGTCTTCTAACCAAAGGATGAATTTATCGCGTAGCAGTTATACACTGTATGAGTTTGAAACATGGCCAGTAAGAATAGAGGACATTCTTTGTTTACTAGTATTCGGTCATAGGTGTCTCCAAAACACTGTTCGTATTTCCTGGGACTACCAAGCAAGCAATGCTATTGTTAGGAAACGGGTATAAGTTGTATAAGTTTTGACTACAGTATTTTAGTGATGAAACGAGAAGATAGTCAGCATCATACGGAACTCTTACGATGGATACAGCGACAAGATAGTTCATGGAGGAGAGCTGACAGACTTGTTCGAGGTGATGACCGGTGTCAGGCAAGGTTGCTTACTCTCACCCTTTCTCTTTCTCCTGATGGTCGACTGGATTATGAAGACGTCAACATCTGGGGGGAAGCACGGAATATAGTGGATCAATAGGACGCAGCTGGATAACCTAGAATTCTCAGGTAATTTGGTTATCCTATCGCAAACACACCAACAAATGCAAGAGGAGACGACCAGTGTAGCAGCAGCCTCAGCAGCAGTAGGTCGCAACATACACAGAGAGAAAAGCAAGATTCCCTGATAAAACACATTATGCGCAAACCAAATCACACTCTACGGCGAAGCTTTGGAAAATGCGAAAACCTTTACAGATCTGGGTAGCTTGATTGATGTGCAGAGTGGATGTGAAGCAAATGTGAAGACATAGATTAACAAAGCATGGGAAGCATTTCTACAGGTGAACTATATCCAAATTCAAAACAACTATCGACCAACACCAAAGTCACAACTGTCAATACAAATGTCAAGACAGTTCTATTGTATGGGGTGGAAACTGGGAGTACCATGAAAGTTATCATCCAGGAGATACATTAATTTTCAACAGGTGTCTACACAAGATACTTCGGATCCGTTGACCAGACACCATCAGCAACAACCTGCTGTGGGGAGAACGAACCAAACTCCAGTGAAAGAAGAAATCAGGAAGAAGTGCTGGAAGTGGAGAGGACACACACTGAAGAAATCACCCAACTACGTCACAAGATAACCACTCACTTGAAATCCTCAAAGCCAACGAAAAAGAGGAAGGTCAAGCAACATATGATGCCAGGAAATGGAGACAGACATGAGAAGAATGGACAACAAATGAACATAACTGGAAAGGAAGGCAGAGGACAGAGTAGGTTGGAGAATACTGGTCGGCGGGGATAACAAGCCCAAGTAAGTAAGTTTTAGTAGACTGTTTGAAAATAGAATAACGTTGAACCAAATCCAAACTTTACTAACGAGTCAATAGATTTCGACAGTAAGACACGTTTTATGAAATAATTCTACAATTTAGAAAAGTTTTTAACATCGTGTACAGATTATTTCAAATATTTAAACCAGAAATTGATTTTCCGTTTAAATTAAATTAATCTCTTGTAAATTGTCAACACCAATAATGTTTTAAAATAGAAAATTCAATTGTAAAATTATAAATGATTAGTTTGTTTTGTTTTTCTTTCAAGAACTTAATCATTAAAATTTCCAAAATAATTCTTCATTAATCGATCAATCTAAAATGTTTACATTGAATTAGACTGACATTTTGTTCAATATTCAATTGTTATGAAATTCATGCGATCAATGTACAATTTCGGTATAACGAAACCAATGCACTTTACGTGAGCAGTGTGATATACATGTTGAAGGAAAATTGCTAATGAGAGAGGGATTAAATGAGAAAATAAATGGACAACATAGTCAACACATAGAATGTACTTACATTTCACAATCAGAGCATTCAACAATAATCATTGGTGATCTCACATTAAAACGACTCGACAGTCAACACTAAAACAGTCATTATAAGATTGTAGAGACAGTGGAGTTAAATCATACTTACTTACTTACTTACGCCTGTTACCCCCAATGGAGCGTAGGCCGACCACCAGTTTTCTCCAACCTACTCTATCCTGGGCTTCCCTTTCTAGTTCTGTCCAATTTTCGTTCATTCCTCTCATATCTTTCTCTATTTCTCGGCGTAGTGTGTTCCTTGGCCTTCCTCTTTTCCTTTGACACTCAGGATTCCAGATGAGGGTTTGTATTTTGACGCAGTTGGGTGATTTCTTCAATGTGTGTTCTTTCCACTTTTAGCACTTCTTCCTGATTTCCTCCTCCACCTGAATCTCGTTTGTTCTCTCCAACAGTTCGTTGTTGCTGATGGTGTCTGGCCATTTTGCGTAGACAACTGTTAATAAACACTTGCATCTTGTGGATGATGGCTTTGGTAGTTCTCCATGTTTCCGCTCCATACAGTAGAACTGTCTTCACATTTGTATTGAAAATGCTGATTTTGGTTTTGGTTGAAAGTTGTTCGGAGTTCCAGATATTTTTCAACTGTAGAAATGCAGCCGTCGCTTTGCCAATCCGCACCCTCACATCTGCATCCGATCCACCTTTCTCGTCGATGATGCTGCCAAGATATGTAAAGGTGTTAACGTTCTCCAAGGCATCTCCATCAAGAGTGATTTGGTTGGTGCATGTTGTGTTGCATCGGAGAATTTTGCATTTTCCTTTATGTATGTTGAGACCTACTGCTGCAGAGGCTGCTGCTACACTGGTCGTCTTCTCTTGCATTTGTTGTTGAGAGTGCGATAGAAGAACCAGATCATCTGCGAAGTCCAGATCATCCAGCTGCGTCCTAACTGTCCAGTTGATACCGTACCTCCCTCCAGACGTCGACGTCTTCATAATCCCGTCGACCACCAGGAGAAAGAGAAAGGGTGAGAGTAAGCAACCTTGCCTGACACCGGTCTTCACCTCGAAAGAGTCTGTTAGCTGTCCTTCATGTACGTTATTAAAATCACGAATAGATTGATATAAGGCTATCATTCAAAACCCGGACGAACTGGATGGCCTTTTCATCCTAATACTGGACTCGTAATTAGTGTGGATCCTCAACCCCGTATATATAGGAATCCGACCGGGGACTTTTAGTCTCGCGCGCAATTGCTTGAAGTAACGA